AGACTCCGTGGCGCAACGGTAGCGCGTCTGACTCCAGATCAGAAGGTTGCGTGTTCAAATCACGTCGGGGTCAAGTCAAAAGTTTTGATTTTTTTTTTGGCAAAAATAATTAAAAAACGAGTTTTTCGGGTCAGGCTCGCCTACCCCATCATTCTGAACCATTTGGTTCCGTTTAATTGTGCGCGACTGAAGAAATACAAGAAATAGTGCTGGGCCCACTGGGCTAACCTAAAAATTCATGGTCTCGCCACGTGGAGCGGGTCAATTACAACGACCAAATAAAAGGAAAGGTGAAACCACCCCAGGGGACGAAAGGAGCAGGGCAATAAAAATTGGAAAGGTAAATCTGACGGACCTGATTGACAGGGAATACAAAAAACTTTTGAAAGACGAAGGCAGACAGGCGAAGCACAATTTAGCACTCCGGAGTCTATACAAAGAATCCTGAGGAATTTAGCAAATAAACCATCAAGCGGAATGGACTGCATACCATCGATAATATTGAAACATCTGCCTAGGAGAATAACAAATGAAATAACCCCGAATATATTATATTCGCTAAACGCATAATAAAATTAATGCTTGATTATAATTTTACAAAACAATGTACATTAATACTCATTTGCGTTAGCTATATTCTAAATATTATATGCACCTATGTAGTAAGTTTCATCTTTTGTGTTGTAAATTTCTTAACTTTTTTAACACTGTATGAATGAAAGGTATGTATGGAGGGCTGAAAGTATTCAGACATGTATGGGCGTAATTATCGAATAATGTAAAGCTTTTTATTGTTTATTTTTGGCTGTCGAATATTAATACTTGTATATATTTAGACTGAATAAATAAAAATTAAAAAAAGCACTCCAGATCAGAAGGTTGCGTGTTCAAATCACGTTGGGGTCGAGAGAAGAGAAAAATATTTTTTTTATTTTTCTTAATAGAAAATACCGAAAGATTAGTATTAATTATATTAGAATACATTACATACATACCTATAACTTGTTCAATACTAATTGCAAGTCAATAAGAGAGAGGCACGAAACGATTATTTACGACTGTACTTATTATCATTAACAGCAACGGATAGCATTCTCCCAAACGCATTAAAATATATATCATACCTAGATGAGTAAGTCTATTTCCTCTGGTAAAAACTTGTTCGTCTTTGAACATCATCAAATATCATCAAATCATACACATTCCATTCTCCATTGTTGTACTGCTGCACGTGATTTACGTTTAACTACATGAGGCTCTTATTCCGACTGTATTCGTCGTACACACGTCGTTGCCGATTATTCCTGCCGATGCGGTTGTCCAAAGCCTAACAAGTAAGAAAGTGGGGCGCATCGATGCGCAGAGCGGCCACTCCGCAACGCTCCCCTTTTAAAAGGAGATCATCAAAAGTAAAGAGGCATCATCAGGAGCTGCTCGGCGCTGCTGAACCTGAAGCTGAACTGGGCAGCAGCATCGAACGACTTCTTCTACTCTCCGGATCCAGAGGGTCCCAAAGAACTGGCCTGCCCCACGTTCGCTAACGATCGCGATAAGAAGAAAGACGACACGACGCGGTGACGTTGAAGTTGACGTCGTCTCGCATGACGGCGATGTACAGTACATTCTGTATTACCCACTCATTAGCTTCGCAATTCAATAGAAAATATAATATTTTGAGCGCAAGAGCAATTTATTGAAAATCTCTGACGCAAGTAAATGTCTTCGTTTCAGATTTGAATTTGACTGTATGTTCGGGATGTTCGCCTGATCCTTGTAGAAGTTCACGGTGTAGAAACTGTGTAACGGATGCGTGGAATACGTATACATATATACGTTATGTCTCTCATGAAGTAAGTAAACACTCTTTATACGGAAAAACTTGCAGATATCTAGTTGCGTGGATACACAATACTTATCCGTTGTGTATTGTCACGTGATTTTTGGTCTCACGGTCACAAGGCGACTTCAGCAACGGATTCAGACAACGTTCTCGCTTTCTGTGCTTCCCTTCGAGTCGCCACAGTGCCAAGAAGCTACGCTGCTCTCGGATCGATTTGTGGAGATTTAGAGTCTCGATGTACCGAGTGTCCCGGCAGAGAGGAGGGTGTACCCGACGAAGACGTCTCCACGGACCGGCGGAAGCTCGGGTGAGATACCGGCGCTCTGCTGGAGGGAGAGAGAGAGAGAGAGAGAGAGAGAGAGAGAGAGAGAGAGAGAGAGAGAGAGAGAGAGACAAAGGGCTGTAGAGGGGATGGAGATCAGATTTTTTGATACGGTTAAGGCCAGGGGAGGAGCCACCTGAACCGATTTATGCTTGCAACAGCCCAGCTGTTGCCCGATGTCCCGCGGAAGCAACCGTGGAGAATCTTTCGATCTTTTACTTACCGATTCGCTAAGAAACGCTCTCGGTTTAGTTTTAAGTATACTATGGTCTATTGAAAACGGTGAGCAATTTAATTTTACGTTGAATATATTTGGTCAAGATGAGACAAAGC